TTATTATTCACTTTAATGAAGACAGAATTTTTGCCTTTATGTATAAAATGGCCTACAAACATAACACAACATAGTAGGTTTACTGCTATTACCATTTTTCTATGAATATAGAGATTTATCTCCTTCCAATGAATCATCTAACAAGAATTAGCATGAGCACTGAAGCTCAGCTACATGTAGGTTCACAGTAGAGGAGCAATGAAACTAATACATTTCAACTCACTTCATGTCTTAAAGGCAGTCAAAAATGGTATACTAGAAAAGACACTTTTTAGCTTTGGTGAGTTTTGCTTAACTCAGGTTACCATCCTTAGAAAGCTAATCTTTAAAGTATATTACCCTTTTTTTGTTGATCAGTTACTCAGAAGCAAAGCTCTTCCTGCATTTATAGAAAAGTGAGATTTTGGGGTTACTTTCCAGTACACCAAATGTTGTTCCTGGCTAGTCTTTAATAAAAGACATTGCAATGACGCAGAAGTTCAAAACGAAAGAGAAGAAAAAAAAAGAAGAATTTTTTTAAAAAAAAACCTAACTAGCTAAAAAGATTACATTCACAGACTTGGCTGAATGTAACAGCCACAACTGTATAACAAACCATACACACTAAGAGCATAAGGATAACCATATCAGCTCAGATCCAAATTTAATTTAGCCCAACATCCTGTTGGCAAGAATCGCCAGTAGCAGATGATTACAGAAAGTATAAAAGAAACAGGAAATATCTGCAGTTGGCTAAAATTCTGGTCGAATAGTTCTATTACCTCTTGACACCTACTGATGGATTAGGTTCCTATCTGCAACAGCACAACCTAGTGTCTATTTACCATTATGTAATTTCTCCTACGGTGGTTGAGCACCAGGAACACATACAAAATAAAGACAGACCAATATGACTATAATGTCATATAGTGTAATATAATGTGATATCTTGACTTAATAGAGATACTGAAAGGAAATGAAACAAAGAGGGAAAATTACAACTTACTTTATGGATTTATTATTTTATTCTTTGGTATATCCTTTAGGAATTTCCTGCTTTGGTGCTATAATTATGTTATAATAGAAACGCTCATTTTTATATTTAAATATAAGTTATAAAATTATAAGTGGAAGAAACAGTGATTTCCATTATCCACATGTCTCTCTAACCTCAAAGTTTGTGTTGAGTGTTTATATAGCAAGCTGAGTATTAAAACAAATAGAAAAGTAGTTTAGATGTATTCACAGTGAGATTATGCTATTTTTAAGTGTTAAAGATTCCATTAACTAGTTCATCAAGGAACTTGTGCTTTGAGAATTATGCAGTGCATAATAGGTGTGCAGGAAAAAGCTGGTCACCATATAAATCTTGCATGTTCAGAAGGACCTTGTAGAACAGTTAAAGTACTGAAATCTCTGTCTGTATTAAATCGAATATTACTCAAAAATCATTCTTCCCGGTCTGTGAGAGACCTCTGATATTGGATACTAAATTTAAGCATGAGATACAATTGTGATGCTGACACTGATAAACTAATAAAATCCAGTGTATGACTTCTTAACCTTATTGTCTCTTTCCATAGTTTCTGTACATAAAGGAAGAAATTTTAAATTCATGTATGTACACGACATTTTGTAATTAACAAAACAAGTGAGTTCCATACAAAGGACTATATACTGAAAGATCATAAATCAAATTCTCAGCTAAAATCAGCTATCACAGTTCTAACTACACAGTAAAGTCTTACTTTTCTCCATTTGCTAAAAATCGTGGTTCTGTTTCCTATATAATTAAAGAAGAAAATATGCAATGAATTGCAGCAGTACTACATTTCTGAAATAAACAGAAGAATTACTGAGGCACAGCCTCCAGAAGAAGAAAAGGGAGCTTACAGTATGCTGGCTTAAGGAACTTGCGTCATTCACGTAAAACCAGAAAGAGGAACTCGGTGACGAATCACTTGCACATCAGATACAAAAGTGCATGTGAGATGCTGCCTCGGAGACCTAAATCACATAAATGCTTTGCTGAAAAGGGAAAAATTCATGCTTTGTCTCTCCTTCGGGAATACATTAAGACACATCAGAACAGATGAGACATGATCTAGAACTGGGAACAGAAAAACGAGCACATGCAGTTTATGATAGGCCATTTAATTCTGAGATAAACATGCTCTGAGCAAAGAATCAAGAATACACAAGCTCTATTTCCACTGAACTCTCTGTGGTCTTTTTTCTTTAACATTGCTAATATTACAACATTTTTAATGTGACATAGTTATCGGAGAATTCATGTGGTGTTCCCTCACTAAACTTTATGGAGAGATGCACAGACAGAGTATCTTTAGAAAAGTGCCTTTCGAAGACTTAAAACATTCTTTGGTTTTCGTATCACCTCTGAGTCAGGGTGCCAAATGTTATTTATGTGTGAGCTAGTCCTAATTCTGGGGGTACATAGTTGCTTAAAGTTGTGAAAAGTACATAATAATATAGCAAATAGTACTGAATATGTGTAACAATTTATGAATCGCAAATTATCTGTCTTTAATTAAAATGCATTGCTTTTTATGCATAATGGGATTTTAACAAATAAGATGAAAAATGATGTGAAGAACTGAATACAATAAATCTACCACACATAGTGCCCTTGTAAATTATAAGTAGAATATAATTTTGATAGATAACATTTTATTTTGTCATTTGATTTGCTACACAGGAGGCTTATAAAATATTTTTACATTCCCAATTTCTATCCTATACCAAATTCTATACAGACAGTGTAAAGTTTCTACATGTCTCAACTGAGAATAAAGTAGAAAAACAAGTACCTAATACCAAAATAAAGTAATTCCTACAAGTTAGTATGAATGTCACCATCTACTTCAGAAAAAAAAAAAACAAAAAAAAACCCCCCAAAAAAAAAAACCAAAAAAAACAAAACCCAAGCTAAAAAATAATGTAAAAATTCTAATAATAATATTGCCTTGGACAAAAGCTTTGGCATTTCCTTTTTAAAAGTAGTAGTACTTCTTACTACTGTAACTTCAGCCAACATCAGCTTACTCAAGGAAATCTCAATTCTTATTAGCATAACTTGTTTTAAAAAGTAATTTTGAATCTTTCTTTTTTTTTAATTCTGCATAAATAGGAAACTCAAACATAGATTTTAAAAAACCCCCAACCTCTCCTTATGTTAATGGCCAGCACAGGCAAAAGAACAAATGGATATAAGCTGTCACTGAAAAAATGCAGATTGCAAATTACTACAGAGTCTCTAGCCATTAAAATAAATCAAACTCTGGAACAGCCTTCGGCGGAAACACTGGGGGCAAAGAAATAACAACTCCAATTTAGTATTGGCAAAGTTTATGAAAAGAGAATTATCTGATGCAATTCCCAGGCTAGCAGAGCACTGGACTTGATGACCCAGAGATCCCTTCCACTGTTATGTTCTTTGTTTGGCTAGATGCAGATGTTCATCTGTTTTTCAGCCTCACTGTGGTTTTTCTAAAGTGAAATTTAAATGAAAGTTAATACAATTTTTGTAAGTTTCAGTTAGAAATTACCCTTTGTAAGAACTGTTGCTATGCCTGCAGCAGAGTGGAACTTGTCAAAGAATTCTAAAAGCTTTACTTAAAGTTGGCTTAGCATTATAGAGCAGTACAGAAGTGTTCAGAGATGAACGCCCAGCAGGGCACGCACCATGAGAAGAGGTAACTGATCTACCGGTAGGGAAAACAGGAAGAAAAAAGGAAGCAATACAGGCTAGGACTGATCCATCAGTAATATCAAGGAAGAAAGCAAAACAGAACAGTAAAGAAAGCAAAGCACATCAGGATATTAAAAAAGTATAGGGAAGGAGAAATATCATATATATTTAATGCCTTTCTAAAAAAACTAATTAATGAAAAAGTATTATCATGTGTGGTGGCTGTCAAGAGCCAACACCAACTTGAAAGAGAAAAAAAAGGAAATGTTTTGTTCCAGAGGAAGGTCATCTTTCAGGTCACAATCTAACACAAGCCTCTCTCCCCCTCCCTCACTTCTCTCCCCCATGCTTAGCTATTGGAATTTGCCTGGAGCTGGCTGGCTTTGGAAGACCCCATTTTGGAGAACGAGTCACAGTACAGATGCTACTGCACACAGTTCTGTAGGTGACTCGATATGGAAGAGAGTGGCTCAAACCCAGAAGTATAAACTGTTGCTTAAAACAATAATATTTAAGCTTGAAAACAACCTGGTATTCCTAAATAACTTGTGCCATCCTCCTGCCTTTGCTCAGTTGGGGTTTTTTTATTAACATAAGAATATATTTTATCTTGCAGGTAACTTAAATGTATCACAGTGACTACAGAAAGCAATTGCAGATATACATCAGTGAGATGAAAATAAAGTGATTTATAGAAAACAGCTCTAAATGTTTTCTGGTTTTGAATAAATAAGTTCTTAGAGCAGCTTTTAATGATTTTCAAATACACGTATCTTTACAGCTCCAATCAGTCATAAAAGCATACAAAGGTCAAGCAAATACTTTATCTTTTTTAAGACACTATGGTCTGTTTTCTATCACTCACAGGTTCTAAGGTTTACTCTCTTTCAAGGAGATGATACTGCTATACAAGTCTTCAAAATAAAGGTTTTACACAAATTCTGTGAACCTTGATGGCTATGTATTTAATTCTTCCACATGAAACCGTAGGCCTGATAAATTCTAAGATATGCTGATTCTTTGAAAATAGAAACATTATTTATACTAACATCACAACTTCAGTGTATACTTAAAAACTACGGCCATACAATCTTTTAAGTAGTTGTGTGCAGACATGATCCCGTACAGACGATTTTTAAAGTCTAGCCCTTTCTTCACATGAATAAATACATAATTTTTCTGTTTTCTAAGAATGATTGCTGCAGATTTTCAATAAACACAGAAGTATTGCAGAATATTAGTTCAACTAAACCTTCTAAGTTGACTGGAGAACGACCAACCATGCTACAGCCCTTACTGTGTGCCTTTGCAGGTATTCTAGAAATCCGAACGGTGGCAGTTGGAATAGTGGCAATCAAAGGAGTGGAAAGTGAATACTTTCTGGCAATGAACAAGTCAGGAAGACTCTATGGAAAGGTATGGATGCAAACTGCTGTGTGTACAATCATCACATAGAAGCTTAAAGATACATATTTTTAGAGGTAGCATGTGTATAGTTTGAATAAAATAGATTCCTAACAAATTAAAATGTATCCTGTACTTATCCCATACATCCCATACTAGACTTTCATGTCCACCTAATAAATTCAGTGATTAGAGCTTATATACTTTTTAAAAATGTGGAATACTAAGGGGGAATAGACAAAGCTAAAATATTCAATACTCAGATTTCAGAAGTCAAATTTATGTATTAAAAATATTAATAATATGTGGGGTTTGTAATGCATATTCTTCTCCCATCTTCCCTAATCTAAGTATTTAAAAAACCACTTGTACTCATTTTACCATATTTTATTATTTACTCTCAACAGAAAGTATGCAATGAGGACTGCAACTTCATAGAACTGATTGAAGAAAACCATTATAATACATATGCTTCTGCAAAATGGACACACAAAGGAAAGGAGATGTTTGTTACATTAAACCACAAAGGGGTCCCCATGAAAGGTAAAAAAACAAAGAAAGAACATAGAGCATCCCACTTTCTTCCTCTGGCAATATCCTAATCACAAATGATCTATAAAGAACTAGTTCCAGCAGGAAGATTATTTTTAAGACGACTCTTTGACAAGATATCAAGAGAGGCTGGAATACTACTGAGAAACTGAACAAGCTGGACTTGCGCATTTATGTTTATTTTTAAGAGACTACATGAAAAAGATTTGAAAATATACACAAAACCAGATTTACTAACTAAAAGTTGTAAAAAATTCTAAAGAGTTGTACAATCATTATCTTAGTCATTGTAACTGGGTAGTTTCTTAAATTAATTTACCCTGAAGAATAAGTCATTACTTGATTATCTGATAATATTTTATTTAAAAAAACCTATCTGCTTCTTAAATATGGCTGCTATAATAATAATAAGCAGATGATAATGTTGTGTAAAATATGTCAGACTTTAAGGCTGCTGGAATGAGTTGTCAGATTATCAAGTCAATAGTAAGTGTGGAGGCTGAGCAGTATTTTAAATACTTCCCCCAAGAAACTGATACCCTATACATAAACTATATGATCAGAAAAAAAATATATAATCTTGTAAATGTTTATTGTTGTATTCAGATAAAAGAGCTAGTTTGGAAAAATTAAGTTTACTCTACTACAAAATGTTCCTATCTATTAATGAAACAAATACCTAATGCTGCTCTAAAAGATGTTTCAAATAGTGTATGTAAAATAAGAATAGGAATAAATAATGTACTTCATCTCACTTTTCACAAATTAACATTTTATATAACGATGAAGCAAAAATTCAGACATATTAAGGTTTTTTATGTAACATATCCTATCTTTTGTATAATTCCTGTTAGGGCATACAGCTTTCAATATTGTTTTTCCATCCTTATACATGCTTTTTCTGTTGTTACAGCATTAAACTTTATTTTAAGTTGTATTTGAACTTTATTGTTCTAAGTTATTTAAATGTTATTTATAAAAAAAAATACTTATTAAGCTGCATCTGTTTCATATGCTTTTAATTCCAAAGGAATAACAAAATGGTCTGGCTGAGATGCATGAATTTTTTTCTGTGACCAGACACAAAGACTAGTACACGACCCGCTTGCCAACATACATTGGATGGCAGACAAAAATGACAGCCTGCAGCAAATCGCACAATGGACATCTCAAAAGAAACAATGCAAAAATGTAAAAAAATCTTTGCCACATACCCTTTCTAATTGAATTTAATAGCATGCTCAGAGTTACACCAGGTAAAAGAAGGTTACAGTTCCAGCAGGTACTAGACTTAATCCTCAGATGGTAGAACCTATACTTACAGATACAGAAGTATGAAAGAACCTATACGACTAGTTTGAAACTTCAGCCAAAATCAATGTGACCTGATGAAGAAAAGCCATCTTAATTTTCTAGCTATTGAAGTGTTCAACCAAGCCCTACATGACTAACACATTATATAATTTCATTCTGTTCAGTTTGCCTACAAGTTGTCTTGGTATCGTGATAATTGCGCTTAGATAAAGGTCACCAAAAAATTAGCTGAAACAGCTGCTAGATGACTGGGATGGAGTCAGGTTAATTACTAGTGGTCTTAAAAGCTCTGCTTTTCATTACAAGTGTCTAGAGTCAACTATTTTTTCCTACATGAGACACTTCCTTTATAACAGCACTCAGAAAACAGCAACAATTCTCTTCAACAAATATTCCTTTTTTAAAAAAATACTTCTAAACAAATACTATAATTTGGAAATCATTTATGATTTTTGACTTGCTAAAAAGTGTAGATATAAATGGGTCTATGCAGAAAAATTTGTCAGTACAGCTATATCAGTAAACCACTGTGCTTTTCCTAGTTTATCTATTACTTGTTCACTGAACACAATAGACTGTACTATCAAAGAAACTTTTTTTGCTGATAACTGTCTGCACTACTTTCTGTGAATATAGAAACACTGAAACAAAGTTCACACACTTGATCAACATTAACATACTAGCAAAAGTTTCTAGTTCTAAATTAGGTTAGTTGAAGCTTTGAAATAAAAATTAAAAGAAAAAATCTCATTAAGATTCTTTATGCTTAAAAGCTTTCCTGGTTTGAATTACAATGTGAATATACACATTAATATATGAAGATATATGCCAAAAAAGCTTAAAATTAAATCCAGACACAGACAAGCTCTTCTAAATATCTTCTGATTATGTAATTCAAGAATATAGGAATACAGTCAAGCAATTCCTGAACCCCAATGGTAATTAGCCCTTACTGCTATAAGCTTTATCTAATGGATCACTATATTACCATCATTATGAGGTAAGCCAAGAGTGCTTTATGTTTTACAGCTGTCATATCTGAAATGCATCCTATGAGTGAATGGTTCACAAAAAGACACCTCAGTGCCAATGATACAATCCTTCAGTAGCACAGTCATATGGCCTTACATGTTGCAACACCTTCCTTACGTTGACTTGGAGGAGGGTATTCGAGAAAAATCAGTATTTTGCCTTTCTTTCATGCTTTCATTTCTTCTGGCATTTTAATAGTCAAACAGACTTAAAGGCTAGAACGTAACCTGGGTTGTTCTATTACAGTACATAATGGAAAAGGTGAACAGAAAAGCAAGATCAGATCAACCCAGCTGAGCAATTTTCACAGCATCTTTAACTTAGAAAATATCTTTTGTAATAAAAGATATTTCTTTTCAGCTGTCTCCAAAAAAATCAATTTAGTGCTAAAAACAGAGAATAATAATCAGAAAATTTATAGTGATGATCTACACTAGCAAATTATTAAAAGATAAGGATAAAAAAAAGAATATATTACATTTTAACATGTATTATTCGAATAGATGTCAGAAATCCTCACAAAACCCTTTTACCACAATCCAGTCTTAACATCAATCATGCAATATACCATGTGGGAGGAAAACAGGTTCGTATGCAAAGAAACAGATATACCTGTCTGGATATGGCTTATTACTAAACTTTTATAATACTAAAGGTTCAATCCAAACAAAGTGGGCTATAAAAGCCACTCTTACTTGTAATTTCTTTGTTTTTCCTTCAGATGCATTGGCTTTCATCGAGCTTTTTTCTTTGTTTACCACAGATACTACAAAGCGTAAATAGACTGTGATTTAGAACTGAAATATAAGCTCTTGTGGTTTAAATAGCCGTTCTATTTCGCCACCTTCAGTAACCATTCATGTTTCCCAAAAACTGCTCCATTATGCAGGCTCTTCACATTCAATTAGCTAGGTTCTATTTACTTACTTATCTTTTGTATTAGTGCTGATAAATACTCTGTGACACAGAAATGAGCTAATCTCATCCAGGGAATCTCACACAAGACTCCAGAATCTCCATTCCTGGAGGTTTGCAAGACCTGACTGGACAAAGCCCTCAGCAGATTAGTCTAAAATCCGTGTGGGCCCTACTTTGAGCAGGAGATGGGACAAGAGACCTGCAGCACCCTGCCAACTCAACTGAGTCTATGATTCCATATGAAAGTTATTTTTTTCTTAGAACAGCCATTTAGATTGCAATTCAACCTCTTTGAACAACTACACAAAATACATTTTCCATGCTAGGGGAATAATTACACATTTGCCTCACGGTTTATCTATAATAACTTGTATGTCATTAAAGGTATGCAAAATGGTGCAGATACATTCCATAACACAATAAAAAATGACAACCGGACAATTTCCATGACCTTTAAAAGACATGATATGGTACCACATGGTCTCACTTCTAGTTCTGTTGCAAGTACTTTAAAACACCACTGTGCTTAGCATCTGTAATAATCAGATTACTAAATGATTAGCCAATTGAGTAATTATTAAAAGACACTTGTATGTGTTTTAAATGACTTTTTGAAGAAAAAATGTATATTCTTTTTGAATGAGCTGAAGGAAAACATAAGTTAATGTTAAATCAATAAAGTAATAAGAGAACAACAGTATTTCCCTGCAGTTGACAACCAGTATCTAAGTAGTCTAAATACTTCATAAGCCTGTGCAATCTAACCTTCAATACTAACTTTTTAAAAAACATAATAATTTCATAACATTCAACATATGTAGAAAATGAAAGTGACAGGTTAGATGATCTTCCCCAGGTTAGGGAAACGTCATCATCAGAGTTGAGATCCATAGTTAGAACTAATATTACACTTTTTTTAAACTAACATTCAGTAACAAAAAAAAATTCAACTGTTTACATCACTGGATGAGTTTTAAAAGGTAAGTTATTTAAATCACATGTTTACTTAAAACAGGGAAGAAGGTGAATTCATTAGCAGAAAAGTAAGCTAACTTCTCTGTGCTGTAAGTAGAATAATTTTGAATATTAGGACTGTCTTTAAAGCAGGAACTCAGATGGGAAAATATTCAAGGAGTTGCACGAGGTTTTTAACATGACATTTATATTGACTTTAATGATAGTCACACAGCAAAATTTCTAAAACCACTTTTTAACACCATACATTTAAATTCATAGTCTTACATAAAATACAACCGCAGAATATAATTATAAAAGTTTGGGGGGAAAAAAAAAATCATACAGTATTAAAACTACAAAGTGTTAAAACCTGAGCTCTGTAAATAACTTCACAATACCTGGAAAGGAAAACTAGCTTGTAAACCTCAAGCATTCCAGACACTGAAATTCTATAACTGGTTACATTCCAGACCTAAAAAGGGAGATTTTCTTCAAATCGGTTTGGAAGGCAGATCCTAGCTTACCAAGATTGGTTGTTTCATTAAGAAAACTCTTTTACTTAGAGGCCTGGCACTTGAAAAGATTGACTCTTAACACAGAGGGGAAGAAAAAGAACTCATTTCAGAGGAAATTACTTCCTCATGAGAATAAATATTTTCCTTCAGTGCTAACCAGAAAAGCAGAGGAATTCAAATGAAGATGCATAAACTTGTCACATAAAGGTTACAGTGTTTTCAGACTGAAGTCCAATATCAAATAAAAATCTTTACTTTTAACATCATTTCTAAAATAGTGTTTTAGTGAAGATGGTTAAAGATCAGAACACTGAGCATTCTTCAATGAAGTACAGATCTTAAAGGATACCAGGTACCTAAAAGGTGGATATTGGTACCTAGTGAGAACTTGAAGGTGTCAGGTTAAGTAGGCTGCCAAAGTTCAACAGATTTCAATAGGAAGTGCATATCTAATGTGCTCAGCTACATTATGAAAGTAGGTATTTGCCTTACCTAGTACCCAGATAGCTTTGGGAAACTCATTACAAGTTTACTTTACATATATCAACAGCTTCCCCGTCTTTGAGAAGTTAGGCTGGTCAATTTTACGGGCTCTGTCCTCTGCAGACTAAGCTCTTTCAGGAGCTAATAGAGTCTGTGACATTAGGAAGCACTTGTGTCACTTGCATGTTGTGGTGGGTTGACCCTGGCTGGATGCCAGGTGCCCGCCAAAGCCGCTCTGTCACTCCCCTGCTCAACTGGACAGGGGAGAGAAAATAAAAAAAAGCTCATGGGCCAAGATAAGGGCAGCGCGATCCCTCAGCAATCACCGTCACGGGCAAAACAGACTCGACTTGGGGAAAATCAGTTTATTACCAATCAAAACTGCGTAGGAGAGAGGAGTA